CCAGCGCATCGACTGCTGGTGCGAAGATGCGTTTTTCTGTACAGCTCCCCGAATGTTTTTGTCATTAATGGCACTATTTTCTCCGGTGAATGCTTCTAACTAAAAGAACTGAAATTGGCCACTACGATTGACACAAAACACTCCCTTAAAATTTCAGCTTTCTAGCTTTTCTGGTTCCCGAGTTAGCCAACTTACCCGCTAAAAAATTTGACGGACCCGTACGTGGGAGCCAGGTGGGCAAGAGCGCCCACTCTGGGGATGGAAGTCTATATATACATACAGGTTAAGTTCCCAAAGTTTCAGCGTTGAGGCTTTTGTAGGTCTCAAGATGAAAGATCGGTACAGAAGTACACACAGACATACACACTGACAAATCCTCGACAATATGCGTTTTTGCACTGCACAGATGCAAGAAAAAACATATAAAAACTCATTCAAATTCTACACGATAGAAGATAAGCATTTTTTTTCTTTCTTTTTTTTTTGAATTTCAAATGAGCAAAGGCCTATTTTCATTTGCGCTTTGCGAGAAGCTATGATGTGACAGGATGATAATGACTTAGCACAGAAATGGCAGCAACAGCACTGGCTTTCATCCCCTCATCTTTCTGGCCCAACACAGCTCTCACTCTGAATTGAATTAACGGACCTCGAGAATACGATCAACTCGCTGTCTCGGGCCGAGCCCGTCCTTTGGTCGAATTAGCAGGTAAACATTCTTTAATGTGGTCACCGAATACAACAACTTCTCGATGAGAACTTTGCCAAGGAAGCCACTTGCGCCAGTAACGAGCACACTCCTACCGGAGAACACATCGGCCACCTGGCGCTGCCTAGGCTCCATTGATTACCCCTGAAACTCGCGTGACGTTAGTTGCCGGCCACGCTGAGACAGACCGTCCTAAACACACACGCACGCAGCGTCCCTCAAAAAGCGCCTTCGCCAGCCGACGAGCACTGCGTGATGCGATGCGTGCAGCTAAAAAGTGGCCGAAATTTGGTGGAC